GGATTTTAGGTAGGGATGATTTTAAGAAAATTTTAATTGACACACAGCTTCCAATATTTGGCTTTTAATTTGGTTTTATGGGGTTTTTTTGTTTTTTGATGTATTTTGTTTGTATCTGTTTTAATATGCTGTGCACCGCCCTGAGTCCTACGGGAGAAGGGCGGTATATAAATTAAATTATTATTATTATTATTATTAAGCGGGCAGGGAAGGTAATATGGAATTCTAAATGTGGCCATTCATAGGATGAGGTTGTTTTTCTCCTTCATAGCATCTTTTTACTTTATAAATCATTCTGGCGTTCCTAACCCAGCCGTTATGTTTGTGTCTGTAGTTGTAACTGTGCGAGATAAATCTCTTATATTAATATCATTTTCACATAGTTCACCTCTAACTTTCCGTTATACATTTTAGTTGTTGGACAGGCTTTGTTTAGTTCTGGTACCAGATACTACATCCAAGGCCTCTGTGAAAGCTCTGTCATCGAACACAGGGCACTTACTATGCTGGAAGAATTCTCAGCTCAGCTTACCATTTAAATATGCCTTTTTTTCTAAAACGTACATTAATATTCATATGATTTTAAATAGCAAATCCCCCCTCTCTCTAGGCATGGTTTAACAACTACATGTTAAAATACACAGAGGTTTATTTTCTATACTGAATAATTTTGTATTCAGGCAGTGGCAAAGAGAAGTACAAAGAATGCAGAAGAAGATATTGCCAGCAATTATATAGTTATCTCTTTTGATATTCTTAGAAAAATTGATTTCATCTTTTCCCCTGAAGGTTATTATAATTTTTTCAATTATGCTCCAATGGTGTTTGGATTTCTATTAATTAAAATACCATACACCAAAGTATTCTAATTGATTTCACTTAGGTTTAGAGTAATCAAGTCCCCCTGTGATCCTTTTATTCTTATATATAAAATCCCTTCCTAATGCTGTTATTTGCCATTTAAAATTGGCTTCGTCTCATTGTTGAGAATGAAATAAAACTTTAGCAGTTTTAGTAAATCTCAATAAAGTGCAGTGTGAATGCTACATGTCCTTATATGAATAGGAAATAAGACAAGGAATTTACATAATTAAAATTCAGGGAAGTACAATCATTTAAAAAGAACCCTGAACAATATTAGAATACTGAGAGGTTTATTATTATTATCATTATTGAAATTATGTTTAATAATAATAACTTGTCTAATGCTGTGTGTGTGTGTGTCTACGTTTGAATATATATATTCAATTCCACCTGAGCCATGTGGAGTTGGATTTTGAAGATTATCTAATCATTTGCCTGGTCTGGAAGACATTTCTCCAATATAAAGTTTACTTTTAGTTCCTTCTTCATTTTTCATGGTTTCACATACAACTACTCTTAATTAGAATGGGGATGTG